CAGCAACCAGGGGTCACTGCTAAGACATTCCTAAGAAATTTAAATCAGGAAACCACCTGGACCTTTTTTCTAGAATAAACTGCTTTTGCAGCAAGGCTTACTAATAGAAATTTGCTGAGTAATTGAGTTTGGAGAAGAAAATTATATTGGGTAAAATGGATTAAGAATTCTTAAAAACAACCAAGAGTTAATCACTAATTTATTTAAAAATCCAGTTGCATTAAGTAGATCGAAACAATGTACTTCTCTCTGCACGTGCGCACACGCACAGACACATACACTTTGGTTTTACATATAAACTTACACACAGACTTCAGTCTGCTGGGACAGTCCTTAGGCACGTCTAGGAGACCTCCATGGAAAACGCTTACACTGCCTAAGCTGGGACTATACCATCTACCACTCAAAAATTTCAAGTCAGACCCTTGAGTCACTCTGGATCCCACCCTTCCGTCCTCCTCCCTCGTCCTCCAAGCCCCCCTAGTCCTGCCCCCGCTAGGCTCCCGCCACCCGGTTCCTCGTGCCCTTTTCAGGGCTGGGCGTTTTGTAACAGAAATGTGGTCCTGTCGCCCCTCGGAGACACTCCAATCCCCAGGCGTCCACACCTCCCGTCGGTCTCCCGCTCGGCCGCCCAGAGCCCCCTGTGTGGGGCTCATCTAGTACCTCACCTGCCACTCTCCTCAGTGTCCGTTTGGTGCAGCTCCCTCAAACTGAGACCGTGCTGTGCACACAGAAGAGCCAGGGCCAGGAGGGTCCCCTGGGGGAAGGGACAGCATAGGGGCGAGCGGGTGGCACACAGCCTCTGTGTGGTGTGTGGTGTGTGTGCCTGGCTCCATGACTGGCGAGCGGGTGGCACACAGCCTCTGTGTGGTGTGTGGGCACCTGCTCTCTCCGGTCACAGACCCACAAACAGCACTCCCTGTGTGCCCATCGGCTCAGGAAGGGAACAACTAATGGAACGCTGGCCGCAGGCTGTGCCTGGCTCCATGACCCTCAGTCTTCATCTTCATGGACATGTGACTGGGGTGGGTGAGACTAAGGAAGAATAGGTGGCTTAGGGGTCCTATGCACAACACAAAGAATGTGGAGAAGGTTCATTTTAGAAAAATATTCTGTCTTTTAAGATATTCTGAATATAGTCAGTGGCATTCTGTGTACACTGAATATGGATGGATAATATTTCTTTAAATGTGTAGACTTTAGAAGTTTCAATAATTAGTTTTATTCTTTTTTATATGTTTTTATTGATTTCAGAGAGAGGAAGGGAGAGGGAGAGAGAGAGAAACATCCATGATGAGAGAGA